TATATATATATATATATATATATATATATATAATTATTAAAAAAGAACAGTGACCAGAAAATTAGACACACTATAACATAATATGTTATAGTATGTCTAATTGTTAAATTTTAATTACTATATAGCTATATAGGTGATATTAATTACTATATCGGTGATACTTTCATAGCTTTATTGTTTTTACATGACTGAAACCGGTTTGCACTTGTTTACGTTAGTGTATCAATGGGTTAACATTGTAATGCAATGTGGGAAGTATATTATATATATATATATATATACTGAAACTTAGTAGTAGGTATAGAAAATTGTCAACAGATGGCGTTGCCCGCTGTAATCGCATATTATTTTATATGCCTGATAAATAGTTGCTTCTATGACCAGAGAGAGAGATCCTGATGTAAACAATTTTACTAAATTTAGAAACACAGAAAATATGACCTATAAATTATTAATTATACTGAAATAAGTTTAAAATTTTCTAAATCACTCGCAATCGTTTTCATTTTAATTTGTTAAAACTCGATCTACTTCGTGAGAAAAGAATTTTGTAGAAAGAAAGAAATATTTTAACAATACTGAGAGTCACATAATTGTTAAAAGAAATAACTATAACTGATACAAAACTGTAACTTTCTAATGATGAAAGTTGTAACTTTGTGCATGGATACTAATAGTTTATATTTACTTTAATTCAAAAAAAAAATAGTGTATGTTATATTTAAGCAAAAATGCTCGTGGTTTGTGAAAAACACGACAGAGTCTTATGTAGCAATAGTCCTTTTTATTTTATTGCAAATACAATTGACTAATTCATAAGTATCGGTGGTAAGGCACTGGAAGTACATCATTTAAAGTGACTGGAATTCAAATGGGGTCAATAGAAAGTGCAATATTATCCGACACAATTCAAGTTACACAACAGACAAATGCCTCTTCCCTAAATGCGATTACTCAAAATCATTGCATGAACTTCAAAACCATAACAAATTTGGAACATACAATCAATTTATAAAAATTGAAAACTTAAAACATGAACAAAGATAATTAAAGATTTAATAACAATAATAAGAATCACTAGTTTTTTTTTTATTTTTTCAAAATAGGAAACAAAATAAATAAGTTACAAAAATAATTCCAAAGCTCATAACATTTAGTTGGTATGATGAGAAAAATAAATTAGAAAAATAAACCGATTCCCGTATCCTATGTTATGTTTTACCGAAATACAATGCTTGAAGATGATATCAAACGCAATGTGCGGAGTTACTGTAATATTTTCATGCATTTGTTGACATTTTGAAGCAAGCTCCACTGTCGAAGTTCACCATCTCAAAGAACTGTAGTTTTTTTCTTAAAAATTATTTAAATAGTTGGTTAATTATGAGTTAGGAGGTATTCCATATAATCTAAGAGAATCGCTAGTATTAGTACGATCAATATACTAGTTATTCCCGCAAATTAATCATTGATTGTTTTAGCATTTTTTTCATTTCAGAATTTCAATTTTGAACTATAGGTTAAAAATTAATGTTATTCTGTTATTTTACACCAAAAAATATTGTTTTATTTTACATTAGAATTTAACTATTTTAGTAAGTAGAAGCATTTGGATATCTTAATATACATGATTAAATGCCTTGATTTTACATTACGACCAAAATAACAAATTTAGTTAAATAAAGCAAATGGTGTATTTAATGTAGTGCTTCTAAAATAAATAAAAACAGTTGTATTAAATAATTTCATTCAAATGTAATCATTGAAAAATTAATAAATATTGTATTGGCATTTTTCTTTGAGAGTTATAAGTAACTAAAGCAATACCTTTTAAATAAATGCAGCAAATGCAATGAAGTAGTGAATAAATAATACTTATGCTTTATGCTTCTTATTTAATACCAACAAAAAAATAGGAAAATTAGCATAATGACTAGAATCGTACAATGTTTATATAATAATCTCGATAAATAATTTCATACAAATTTACCGACATTTTAATAAAAGCGCCATAACAAGCAAACAAAAAATAAACAAATCAATACAATATAAACTTTTTTTAATGTCATTATATTTGAATCTGTCTAAAGTAAATCAATTGGCTAGTAGAGTTGGTGTTTAAAGTAAATGTTCTAATGTTTTCCCCAAGATGATAATTACAATAAGGATACACACTAAAGGATAGGACAAGCACACTAAATTTTGTTGAATCTATTAAACACAAATGCACAATAAATAATATAATTTTGACTTAAATTTTAATATTTACTGAAATAAATTTTTTTGTTTAATTAAAGGATGATTTCATATGACATAAATTGCTAGCCGTTCAAACGATTAAATTTGTCTTTGCATATTTATACAGCTATATGTTGCCCTCTAAAAAATTCCGGATCAAATTATGTTATAAAGGAACGGTACTCTGGGTGCATAATCCGTACAATCCATTTTTACCGTAAAATAACATGCTGAAATTTTCACAGCAATATTTTTAATTGGAGTAATTAAGTACTTCTACTGTAATTATTACTGTAAAAATAACGGGAGATAAGATTTTATGTTCTGTAACATGTTCCAGTAAAAAGTACCTGAACTTTTTATGATAATTTGATCTGAAATTTTTACACTGTAGTTGTGCAGCGTATTGTTCATAAATTTTTTACGAAATTTAAAAACTGACGAACAATATTTAGCTTCTTAAGAAAATCTTTAAAACATAATTTTTATAATTTTGTCTTTTTATTCTTCTTAAATTTCAGGACTTTTTTTCAATATTTCCTACAAATATAAAGATGATCGAACTGGCGATTAGGACAAGCACACTAAATTTTGTTGAATCTATCACACTAAATTTTTACACAATTTAAACTGACAATCAGATTTAAATTTGTATGCAAAAATTTACAATAATGAATATAATTTTTACTACTATTTTTAATATGCTTGAAGATAACATTTTCTTTTCATCAAATATTTATTAAAATTGAAATGATGAATCCTTATGACAAATTTAACTGGTTTCAAGGACGAGAGGTTTGTGCTCTTAAGAGCAGTTTATTGAGTTATATCAAAATATAAGGAACCAGATCACAGTTACAGGCACGAGTATAAATATAAAAAATGCTCTGTTTCATCATGATACATGTGAGACACAGCTTTAAATAATATCCAACATGAACCTCATTTTTACTGAAACAATGGAATGTCAATCACACACATTTATCTGAAACAGAACTCATTTAAGGCACTTCATTGACAAATATACAGAGTGCAAACCAAACTGGAATATTTGTTCTACAGCTTTTCATTGATTCGTCAGCTGAAACAATAAGTTTATGAACGCTATTTAAAATTTCAGACAAATTTTAGGAGATTTCGCCCAAATTTGAAGTTTTTGTCCGTGTTGGCGCCAGAAATCCTTTAGAAGAAAAAAATACGCAAATAGGGTTATAATAAGAAATAATGTTAGAAAGCTGTCCTCCAAGATTTTAAATGCTGAATCCTGTGTGTAGAAAATTTCGTCATGATTACTGCATACCTAAATTTTTTTAAAAATATATGGGGATTTTAACGCAATTATAATCATTATATAATGAATAGTTTAATGCTTGAATTGAATCAATTAAAATAATTTAGAGCAATAAGAGCTACTCAATCATAGAGATCATAAGAGTTGTGCATCGCTGGTAGAAGAGGTTGTTTCGTCTAAAACCAAAAAAAGAAAAAAAAAAATTATGAGAATTGACTTTGGCAGGATTTCTTGCGTCACACGAGAAGGAGGCAATATATTTTAGGTTGCAAATCTATTGAAGAACGTGTTTCTTTCTTTAAGGGTGATCTTTTTTCAGGAACAATAAGTATGCGTTTTGATGTTTGTTTGGCAGTAAAAAATTCATATCCTATACAGTAGTTGCAGCTCTTTCAGGTGTAATGATGATGAGGATGAGTTTTTTTGATTGCTGTCGGTGAGAGTCAATATGATGAAATCAGTTCTTTGGTTGACTATACGTACTCTATTTTTACTTTGGAAGGATCAAAGTTCTGGAATCCCCACATTTGTCTGGGGCCTCCATTGCATGTCTCCATTGAAACCCCTTGCTTGTCTTTTGTCATTTCAAGACATTTACGACTTACACCATGCATCAATGAATGGTTCTAAAACAAATAAAATATAATATTGGTATAATATATAATTTTGATATAATATACGGAATAATATTATATATATTGATACATTTCTCAAGTTATATATTTTGATTTTTCTTAAATATGTTATCGGTTAATACGGAAAATGTATCCTAACTGGTATAGAGAAAAAAACAATTATTCATTTCGTCTAATTAAAAAAATTGAAACATTATTGGACTAATCTTTATAATTGTTGTATTAGTTTGAATCACTGGTGTATTAACTTAAAGCATCGTTTTATTAATGGTTTCATCCTTGCATAAGCATTTGTATTATTAATGTGTAAGTTGTTTTAATTATAACAGAAACAATCATATTTAAATATACATCACATAAATTATTAAAATTAAAGATTTTTAAAAAATAATTTCTATAGAAATATTATAGAATAAGTAAAACAGCTGGAATCGTATTATACTACTAATACAGGGGAAAAAATTATATAAATTCTAAATTAGATTATGTTTCTATATGTCATTAATAATAAGATAAATTGTTTCAAAACCTTTTTCAATGAGTAAATAATTATTTTAATATCAAAAATCACACAATGATTAAATAAATTTTACTAATCAAAGAATTTATTAAAATTTATTTTTCATTATTATCTATACCTATAGGTTGTTTAAATGTCTAAATAGGGATTTAAGAAATGGTTATAATGTTTTTAAATATTTAATTTAAAATATTTCGATTGCTACATTTTAAATTAATACTTAGCTATTGAAATTATTTTTATTTCATTGTTATTATCAATTTCAATATAATTTATATAAATGTCTATTCATAGATTGTGGCAACTTTTTGCATTACATCATGATATAAAGTCAGGGGAATTTTTTCTCCACATACCACGTAAGTACAAAAATCAGCTGACAATATAAATATTTTCAGAGAAATAAACATAATCAAATGTAGTTAAAGTAAAATATAAGCATTGTTTGCTTTTAATTTTACAGTTTCAAATCCATTTTCATGTTTAGTACTAATAAGGTTTGCAATTCTTAGGAAAACTTTACACCACGGTTAAATTGTGAATAAAAATGTTAACAGGATATTAAGCATTATTTTTATGTTTGAAAATACTCATAAATTTAAAATATTTCAGTTTTAAAATAGTTTTATGGAAATAAAAATTCAAAAAATGAACATAAAAAGCTGAATTTACACGCATGTTAAAATATGGAAGTCATTACTTGAATTTTAAATTATTATTGTTTACACAATAAATTAATTTATTTGTTATTTACTAGCATTTCTGACTATTCTATTTGAAATTCCTATGATCAAAATTGTGTTTTTTTCCTTTACTACGAACATGGTAAAAAACTTCTCTTTTACAAATCAGTGTGATAAGTTGAGGTTTGTTTTAATAAATTTGGAACACAGCATTGCTTCACTAATATTTAAGAATGGGCAATATTAATTTTGCGATAAATACACGCATTCCTCTTCTAAGATATGCGTAAACAGCCAATGTGATTTGTTTAAAATAAATGAATAAACAAACCTTTTATTTACCGCGTTAACCAGGCATATAGTCATTCATTAGAGTTTCACTTAATTTCACGCAAAGCTAGTTAAAGTATATTGTTATTTATCACTGTACAAGGAGCGCTGATAGGCATTCGTAAATAGAAAAGAAGGGATTGGTTTTAATTTAAGTGTATTCTAGTTCTTACATGAGGATCGTAAAACCACATTTGATTTCCTTTGGCGCCATGACAAGGATAGAGAATAACGTCTTTTCCAGCGTAATCCATACAAGCTTCATCACGTCTTATTTCACCAGATGCACTAAGCATCCAATACTGAAAAAAGAACGAATTTTTTTAAAATACGAAATATTTGATTCTAGATCAAACTAAAAGACAAAGATCATTTTACACAAATTTATACCGACGTACATTGTACAATTTAATTAAACGCTACTTTCAAATGTGCAAACGTAAACATTATAACTACATTTCAACAAGGATTGCTTAAGAAACAATAATGTTTTTTTTTTAAATATATAAATCTAGCAAGCATAATGTTTAATAATATTCTCCCTAGAATCAAAAAGCTATAAAAAATAACAAAGATCAGCTACAGCAAATAACAAGTTTAGAAAATTTGAACGCATTAGAAATGTTTAATGCTTTTCACGGGATTTTGCGTGCAATTTGATATGTTAACCATTAGTCTCAAACTTGCACAAAATTGATAATCCTGTTCTTTCTATTTTCTTTTTGACATAGAATGCCCTACTTAGTCGACAATTCAATTGATTCATAAAGTAAACGAGATTCAAAGCTCCAATTAACTTAAATCGTTTACACTATGAATGAAATGCTTGTCGGTGCATGACACGCAGTTCAACTTTCTATACAGCAGGCTTCCTTTATCGCAATTGAAGCACGCGAAATTCTTTTGCCAAAAATATATGTGAACGCTTACCGTTATATACCAGTAAAACGAGACATGAGATATGTAAACAATTTCAGAAACCTGTAAAAGTTACTTTATTTGTTTCTGTATTTAAAGCTTGATTTATATTTGAAAAACTAACTATTGCATTTAACAATCTCAATTACATTTTAAAGCAGGGAAGGAATATATGAATACTTGTAAAACAACTGAATGAATATATAAAACAACCCACGTGTGACACACGAAAAGTATTCAGAATCGGAGGTCCATTTTCCATAGGGATGTGCTCATTGTTGAAAAAACACTAATAAACCATACTTAACAAAAGTTCAACTATTGAACTAAATCGTATTTTTACTTTTCGAAACGTATTTTCTTCATATTTTTAATAAACAGGGAATACACAACGTAAAATGTATCGTACCTCATTAGACATTTGTCATTTTATCATGTTCTTACTTTTAATATTTTATGAACTCAAGGCATGATTTTTCTTTATGCAAGCAGCGTGAAATTTCTTGAACATATGGTATTTTATCTAGCAGTATAAGAAATAAGAAAGAAACAGAATACAAACTTCCCTAAAAATGGATTTTTAATATTGCAAAATTTAATATGACGCGACACATTCCACAAAAATTCTCGAGAAATACTCTCGATTATTTATTTAATTTCATTATATTTGCAAGATTTTTTTACTATATATNAAGATTATGGCGGCTATGAGGTTAACACAGCTAATACTGAGGCTGAATGAAACTCAAGCCACTATCAGGTATAGAGTCCCAGTCCTACGCAATTGGGTAGATCGGTACCTTAACCACGGTGCCATTGCAGATAATTTAAAAAGAACATTTATGGTCTGATGAGATTCCCGATGTGGACACCCATATTTGCTTTATTGACACAAACGCACCTCGGTTATTTCGGGTGAATATCGTTTTTCATTTCCAAAATTCACAATATCACATATAAACATGATTGAATTACGTAAAACAAAATATTTCTACCTGATTTCCACCTTGTAGGTGACATGGCCACATCATAATAGGTTTTTCAAAATCTTCTCTTTTCGCTGGACTGTCCAAGCAAGTATCAGCACCGTCACCGAGGTTTCTTATCTATAAAAACAATTGAAATTGATACTGGGAAATGATATTGTGCCGAACATTGATACTGGGAAAATATGCATTTATGTACAGTTAGATTATACAGGAACACAGCTGTTTTTAATGGATGGTACTTTTAAAAAACATTGAGGTAATAACTAAAATACTTACCTTTCTGTTAAGAAAAAGGCTAAAACACATAGTATTTCTTAAATGTAAAAGAGAACTGATACGTTTATACAATCATTAACTGCTTATCGTATCATAGATCGATAAGATTTGAGTGAGTTAAATTTATTTTAAACTATTCATTTGACCCAAAATGCTTGAAACAAATTTAAATCTGATGAGATAGCACTTTTGATTTGAAGTTTATAACAATAAACAATGACGTTTATCGTATCATGTATCGTATGGTATCATAAGTTTATAGCATTGACGTTCATTCACGTTTCTCAAGAAAAATCACAACAATTTTGTATTGCATCTCTCCTTTTTTTTCATTAGTGCCAGGATTGCTTATAGCAAACAGACTAAATTTTCACTCATTTCAAGCAGCTGTGATCCAGAGATATATTTACTTGTCAAGATTTTATTGCTCAGTTTTATTGATACGAAGCAAAAAATTTCTCAAACGTGAGATCATTCCTCATCGTTATTCATTAGGGTTTCATTAAATTAGCGTAAGTTAATTTAGTTAACAGCATGTTTCAGTTATTGATTCGAACCCTCTAGCGAGCGAAGCATATTCTTGAGTTGATTTATTAACTTTAATCCATAAACGTGAGCCGCGATAGCTCAGGGACAGAGCGTTCGCCTTCCAATGAGGTGAACTGGGTTCAAATCCCAGCAACGACTGGTCGATATACGAATTCCACAGCCGGCTTGCGCCGAATACAGTGATGACGTGAAATATCCTCAATGAGAGACGGATCATAGGTTAGAGACCCCTTGCCGTCAGGCTAACCATGGAATGTTCCAACGGTTTTCCTCTCCGTGTAACGCAAATACGGGTTACTTCCATCAAAAAGTGAATGAAATTTTTATTCAAATAATATCTTACCACTGCAGTTTCTTTGGATTATTAATTAAATACTTACTGACTATTTAATTGTTATTTAGAATTAAGAGTTTCAAATTAAGTTTTATTGTAGCAATTTGTATACATAGAGTACGAGTTTTATATATGAGTTTTATAGTATGTATATCTAAGCGACAAAGCCTTTGTAAATTTTATTAGCAACAAAACAGAAGTTTTTGCTTTTATTTATTTCATAATCTTTTATCTTTTTTAATCGCAATTCTAACTTTAAAGAATGTGTCATTTGAGAAAAATACCCATATTCAGCATATATTTATTTATTTATTGAAGCTTTTAGTGTGTTGGAAGCTTCAGTCACAGCACTCAACTGAAAAAATCACATTGTTTTGGGGTATTGAAAAACAAAGAAAATACCTTCCAAAAATGCTTAAAGCTGAAACAATCTTTTTCGCAAATACATTTAGAAAAATAATCGCAAGCTCCTTAAAAACCACAAAGGTATCATGCAGTAAAACGCATTACGAAGTTTAAAAATAAAACTGCCGGAAGAAAATTCAACCATTAAGGATATTTCATATAAGATTTAACAACTCCGGTTGCCAAAAGCTTTCGTGAAATGAAATATGTATTCAACATTTCTTCCATTTTTACACCTTTATCTATATATGAAAGGAAACTCAGAATAAAGAAATCGTCTGCAGAATATCCGAAGCTTATTCTCGCATATCAAGTACAACTCGGTCGAATCAAGATTTGTTCGAATGGAGAGTTCAAATACTTCAACGCATAACTTTTTTTTTCCATTCTATAAAACGCTAGGGGGCTACGAGGAAGAAGTAGGATTTTAAGACATCTTCGAGTAAAATTCAAATCGACAAATATATTCTAGAGTATATCTTTAATATAGAGAGCCAAATAGAATATGTAAACTACGAAGTTGGCTTTTAGAACGCATCTTGAATTGCAAAATAGGTATATAAAAAAGGCCTTTTGAAAGTAAAAGAACACTTTATTCTTTAGCAAAGAATAAAGTAAAGTTATGCAAAGTTACCGTATAGTTAAGCAAATACGTATATCACCAAAAGTTTCAAAATATAAACCATTAGAATTCTTAAAGGTGTTAAAAGTTACAGATGCTTTTTTTTGTTTGAAAATATAGTAAAAAAATATTTTTTTTAAATAATTTAAATTTTTACATAAACTTGTGAAATTACAAATATTTTAAAGACAAATATTTAACATATCAAACAAACACTAAAACAGACATAATTTCTTTGGTATACACTATCTACCAATAAGTATTTGGACACGTGTGATTGAAAAGAAAAACAAACTTTATTCATAATCAATAGTTGGTAGAGCCTCCACGAGAGGCAATTACAGCTTGAACCCTCCGGGACATACTTTCCACAAGTCCTTGCGTGACGGTTAATGTTATTTTCTTCCACTCGGCTTGGCGAAGACACGTAAGTTCCTTCAGCGATTTTGGACGGGTAGTACACCCTTGAATTCGGCGATCCAACTCGTCCCAGAGGTTCTCGATAGGGTTCAGGTCTGGGCTCTTAGCAGACCAGTCCATTCCTAGTCCTAGTGTTTTGATTTTATTGGGCACCTGGACCACGAAGCGACCCCTATCCCATTCATCTGGAATTTTAACACTGTTTTGGTTGAGCATTGAGGTAAGCAGGCAGTGGAGTTGCTTTTATGAATGTTTCAAGCACTTTGCTTGAATAACTAAAAGGAATCAAAAAATAAAATGAGCAGCTTGCTCTAAACTGTGTTTGTTTGATTTTGGAGTTGTTCAGAATTGTATCAGCATGAAGAAACGCCATTTTCAGAAAGGTTGATGAAATTATTTGTTCTGATAGATATGATAAGAGGCGTCGGAGGTGAAATGTGCAGCTATTGGTCTGTAGTTTTTATCTTTGATATAATTTTCAAATTTAAAGACTTCATTAAAATTTGCTATTTTACATTCTATGGCTTTTGCCAGTCCATTCCATTAACCCCATTGGCACTATACCAAGCCTTGGTGACCCTCGCAACATGACAGCTGACATTGTCGTTCTGGAAGTAACAGGGGTCCACCCCGTAAAACTGCCGCAACGTAGGAAGCACATTGTCATCCAAAATAATGCGGAAGGCATCTTGCATGGGACTACTGTCGATGTTGTTCCCTACACTATATATACCTGAGGAGGGCGTGACGTATCTCAAGACCACGGATATAGTCATTTGCATAGGTGTCCAAATACTTATAGGTAGATAGTGTATTTCCATCTAATCAGATCATGTTACAGGCATTAAAAGTTTAGAAACAAAGATAATAAATCACAAAAAAGCAAATAGAGCATTTAAACACTTTTTATAAATAAAGATAAGAAATAGGATTATTAAAGTAGCATTTCTTAGTACAGAAAATTAAATACAAAGCATTTTATTTTAAATCATATATGATTTTAGAAAAAAATTACTTAATGCTCAAATATTTTTGAAAGATAAATATTTGAAATATATTTGAAATATAATTGAATTATTTCCATAACCAGATATTTATTCATCTCCATCACCAAAATTTATTCTGCAGAGTGTGCAATTCAAGCATTTTTTTTCAAAGCAGTGCAAATGTGCAGTGCATAATTAGTAAATGGAAAAGCAGCGTGATATATTAGCAGTGCAGTGTATCGTGGTGTAGTTCAGTTAGCAAATGATTAATCACCTTGCTGATGTTAAAAGTTTCTGACAATAACATATGTTAACGAAAGTTAAGATGTAAAAAATATTTCATGTTATACTAAGTCTATATTTCATTGGTATACTTTAATATCATCTACGAATATAATAAGGCATAAATTGTACTACATATGTTGTAGAACATATGTTTGCATTGCAACTATCTACTTTCGCACTTCTTGTATACTATCCATTGTTAAAAAATTATTATCTCACTACTTTGTAAATTTTATAATATCTGATGTTTTAGATATTCATATTTATATAGTGTAAATACAAATTTATTTTTGTCGGTACTGCTTAATAAAATTTAAAATATATTTATATTTTAGCAAAATATATTTATATTTTAGCAAAATATATTTATATTTTAGCAAAATATAAGAATCTCATAGATTTCTTCAACAAAGCTTTTTTTTTCCCTCATAAATAATTTTAGCATTTTTCAGGTAGAAAAAAAATCCTCCGATTTTCCCCTTTAATGCATTAAAAAATCCTAAAAGATTTTAAAAAAACAATTCCACAAACGTAATTCTATAGAGTAACAGTTATTGATAAATTGAATAACTAAATACGGCAATAACAGTAATGTGCACATTTTTGCGTATTTTGCCATGTCGTGAAAACGTATTTTTAAATTTTTAGTTTGCTAGCTATATTTGACTGATGAGAAATATGTTGTATTAAGCTCAATGCGTTTTGACGAATTTTATATCCTTAAGGAAGAAGAAATAGTATCATTAATAATTTGGTTAAATGGTTTACTCGGAACATTTTCCAGAAAAAAAGACTCCGTCAAAAACAAAGAAAATTTCATGAATCAATTTTCTTTCGCAGTTTATCAGCTAGTTATTAAAAAAAACTTGTAAATACAAAACTTTAAACACAATTGTTATGCTACTAAAGTTTCATTGGCGAAAAAGTTTGATTGCGACTAAAACAAAAGTTTTAGGAAAAGTTTTATTGTGGTTAAAAAGTTTTATGGCGGCTGAAATGGAAATATATTTGTTTACCACTCTGTTTCTTGGGATTCAATTCTTGCAGATGATGTGTTCTTAATAAATCATTGCTTACAATTTTTTTGAAATTAAAAATAAATAATTTCGTTTTGTTTATTAAAAAAATTATTTTACATTTTATTTAAACCTTCGAATGCAAAAAAATTATATATTTCGATAAGCAGTTCACCATCCATATAGAAAATGAAAATGTGCATAGTAATAATAATAGTTAAAACTAAATTTTAGACACAATTTTTTTATTTTTTTTTAAGCTCTTCTAAAACATAATTTTTTAAGCTATGCAATGAAACATCTAATTTCCAAGTTTTTAAAATGAACTAAATTTTTAAAAAATCAAAATTTGAGGGTTATTTTAAAATTATCATTAATACGCAGAATAAACCGATTCTCCGTATGAAGGATGAAATATTTTTATCCGCGGAGGAAATGTTTTCAAATTTAACCAAAGTTTTAAGCATCGCGTTGCTACGGCAACTAAGTTATTGTACCTGGATCACTAAAAAAGAGCAGATCTTAATAGCAAATAAGGTGCAAATTACTAAAATTGGCGTGCATTAAAACTATTACATCTTATTCAAAAAAATATTTCATATATCCGTAACCAGCATCAGAACTTGATGATTAATAAGTCAAAAAAATTACCTTCTTATTTAATTAAGGTTCCTGATTTTCCGAATTGGAATAAAAATATGCCATTTGTATGAACTATGTTAAAATCTTAATAGACTATTCGATAACTTTTTTATAAATTACTTATGTTGTAAAATATCTTACTGCTTCAATATATTTTTTTTTCAATTAAAACCTGTCTTTTCCAGTTCCGTATTAAAAAATAATTGAGTTTTAGCAAGATTTCGATGAATTCTTTTTTAGAAGGCGGAATTTTTTTTAAGTAGCATGGTGATAAAAATTATTTATATGATAAAAGAAAATGCTTGAATTGCACGTCAGCAATAACAATGAATTGCAAAAATCGTAATTTATTCCCACCGCCGTTAAAATACCAGTATCAAAAAGCGTACCTGATGTATAACCTGGTACTGTAAACAAAAGAATAGGTGAGAAATATGCGAAAATATTTTTATTTTATAAGACTTTGCACAGATTTGGATAATATAATTTAAATAAATGTTTAATTTATGCAATTAGAACAATATTGCTATTTAGTTACAGGCATTTATAAAATGCAAGCAAATGAAAAAAAATTCAGTTTAAAGAATGAGAGTTGGTCACTATACATTTTAAACAATTTTATAATTATTACTTTAGGAAAAAGTAATACGATTCCTTAAATTTAAAAAAATACAGTCAACAAAGCATACAAGAAGGAGTTTTAAATTAAAAAATATGTTAAAAGAGATAGAAAAAAAATTATTTTATCACATTAGTAGCAAATTTTATTGGAAAATTTTTCATGTCTGACATAAAATCTTTTTTCTTTTTTTTTTTTTTTTTTTTTTTTTTTTTTGCTTTTTGTTCCTTTTTTTGAATACGTAACATTCTCTGCACCATTTGTAAAATTAAAATTAAAGCCAAAAGTATCCTTGATAAAATTAAGAAAATATATTTTATGGAACAGTAGAATGAAAGTCAAACATTGTAATTTTAATCTTACTAAGTTCGAATTTAAATAATATCATTTTTATATTAAATATCTAAGTTTTAGGATTCCCGTTGAAAATTCGAAAAAAAGTGTCTTTCCTTGAGGCCTGCAAATTTCCTTAAAAATGATATATGCAGCAGTTAATTGTATAAATTGAAATAAACATGAAAAATGTGAGTTAATTAATCTAAAGTACTGAGATGTTTTTATTGCATGCAGTAAGTGTAAATCAATATAATTAAAATTAACAAGTTAAATTGTGCATTGAAAACAAGACAAACAATTTTATTATTTGCTGTGCAAAGCTGTCATGCAAAACTCATTAAAATAATACCACTTACCTCTCCTTCACCAGCAGCGTCTCCCGGAACAAAAAGTTCGGGATAAATATTCTTCATGTACCATTCGAATGGTTTGCAATTCAGTCTTTTTCTTAACTCAACTCTAGAAGTTACATCTCCAAAATCTCCCTAATTCAAAGAAAAATTACAATATATTATACTTAAAGTTGCACTATTTTAATATAATTAAGTTTGTGTAAATATTTGTTTATATTACATTGCATTTTAGTGTCTACGTTAAAATTTGATTATTTCATCAATAAATTTTAGAGCATGGCATAAATATAATTCGGTTAAATATATTTTACAGTTCTGTATTTTTTAATGCTTTCCCAAAGGTCTATCAGGTATCACTAGGGCTGATCTGTTGGTCACTCTTTCAAAGGCACCATACTAGGTGAGCCATCGTTGCTCCCTCAGTAAGGACAGATAGTACATAAAATAAAAGAACATCCATGTCAGGACCTTTCTGAGTTTTCTAAATGTGTGTAAATGAAAACTATAATTTTGGAAACCAGAATTTCCAGTAAACCGTTACTATATGAACAAAAACAAATAGTAAATGAATGGTTTAATAACCGCATATTTTGGTTTTAATAACCAGAATAGTAGAGTAGTTGAGATATTGACTTAAATGAATAATTGAGTTATTCTTACTCGTTGAAAATTAAATTAACTTCGCTTTCTCATCCATACAAGTAATTAATATCTTGCTTTAAAACTTACAATATTGTAGCTTATATTTGTTGCAAAACAAACGGACATTAGACAAGAAAAAATACTCATTATGCTCTATATCTTAAGATTAGATTATAACGGCATTCGGCTCATTAGACTATAACGCTCTACATCTCAATCTATACAAAAGATTGTGTTGGTCAACTATTAAAATATGATATTTATATAAAAACGTGTAAAAAGACAATGATAAATTTTAAAAAAGAAGCATTATCGTCAAGTAAAAGTCAAATGCAACTTTTCAATGATAATATACTAAAATATTCAGTAATGTTATACTTACTAAATCATTCCCTATTCTATTATAATAATAATGTTTATATTCATCAAGCCAGACTTCTGCTAGACGAACAGAATTTTTTCGAAGTACATTAACACCTGGTTTCCAGTTGTAAGGACTTCGTTTTCTAAAAACATGACCTACATGAGAACATGGAACAATTTCTAATTTTCCTCCACACATCCAAGTCTGAAAAAAAAATTATGAAATGTAAGAAAAATATTAAATGATGTAACTTGCCGATGTAAGGAGAAATAATGAGAAACTATGTGTAATAAAAAATAACGGACTCAACCACGTCATTCAGTAATAATATATTGCAAAAATTTTAGGTTTTAATCCAACGGTAATTGCGCAATTATGCTATTTAATTAGACACCTGTAGACAGAAGCAGTGAAAAGAAAATTTTCAATCTATTTTATTATATCATAAAATTTTTTACGGTATCGTTTTAGTTTAAATCCAGATTCATACTATAGGATAGCACTTAACTTTATTATGATAGCTAAGCGAAATCACGTTTATTCTCTTTTTATAGAATTATTGCCATTAAAGAAGATATAAAAACATTTTTGCTCAATTTATAATATTTATAAAGATATATATAT